CAAAAATCTATAAATAGTTTGTAGCGTTTGGCTCTGTATCGCACAAAATCAGGCTGTTCTGGCTTCTGCTTTTGCACAGACCTCCACCACAACAGGGTGCTTTCCCAGATCGTGGATTAACCAGCAACCTGATTGGCTCTTTTTGTTTAAGGGCAGGAGTTCTTCATAAACAGACGCCATGTAGAGTGTTATGAGCTCTCCTGTTCATATTTCAAACCCTGACCGGTCTCCTCTGGGATCTCTGAGCTCCAAGTTTGGCCAATTATAGAACGTGATTCATTCCGGAATTATTACTTAGCAAACTTGGATCCTGGATTGAAATCACGGATCTTGTCAGAAGTCACTCAAATTACAGCACATCCCAAGATAAAACTGATCCAGCTCCCACAGGGCTTTGGACAAGCAGCTAGCACCCTGCTAATTGGCAGTGCAAATCAGCTTCCATTACTTGTTAGCAACATTAGCCTCATAGCTCCAGTGCTAAGACTAAAGCAAACACACTAAACATGTCCTGGCTTAACTCCATTTTGGGAAAACTGTGTAAATCTAAATTTTTCACCAAACTAGGCGAGTCTTGATGGAAAAGAACCATGCAAAGACGAAAATAATCCCCAGACATCTTAAAGAAAACGCTTTAGCTTCATCTTTACAGGCTCTGCTTCGTTTCTCTGTGTGTTAGAGTGTTTTGGCTCTGACGTTTGTCAGATTTTTGTTTACAAAAGCTTTTGATTACTTATTGCTTGTGCAGAAATGGTGGCACTTGCAGTAAAAGAGAAAAGGAATTCCTTTAATACGCCAAACGACCAGTCAACAACAGCAACCACGGCTACAAGGAGAAGGAGAAAAGGCATAGGCGGAGTCTGAGTTTTAAGCCGAGGGGTGCAAAAAATCTTAATGCTGTACTGTGCTTTGTGCTTTATTCACCGGCAGCAGCTTCATCTGTAACCAGAGATTAGCTTTAGTGAATAAACAATGAATATTCATTGTGCTAAATTAGCAGTTGTTGTGTCACATTAGCTGGAACTTTCCGTGAATGGAGTTCATTTTAGGCCTCGAAACTCTTTAAAAATGTGTTTTCTTTTCCTTGGATGTTTTTTGACAAACTATTAATCAAACTTGGTACTTAATCTTCAGAAAATATTCCCAACTCAGAGCTGTTTTTCTGAAATGTACAGCATTTTTTGCAGCCCTGTTACCAGTTTTTGGGGAAGTGTAGGCTATAAATGGCCTTTAAAAACCAGTGTTAACTGAATTCATGATTTTCTAGCTTTTTCTCTTTTTCTAGCATTTTTCTCATTTTTCTCCATTTTCTCTTGTTAAACTTTTCAAATAAATAATACAAATCCAAAGTTTTCTTGTGTTTTCAATACTTCTGTATTGTCTTTCTATATTCATATTCAAGTCTTAGAGCTTTTTGTTCGTCTATAAACAAAAAAATAGTGCGTTTTTTCCTGCATTAGAAATTTTATCTAATTCGTTTTATTACCAAATTGACCCTTCTGGTAACGTAACCTACTACATTAAACATTTTTCACCAAAAATGGCTAAAAACAGTGTTGAATCCTGGCTAACAAGGTTGAACACAGAGATAATATTCCTTATTAAGATAATATTAATGCAGAACAAAAACAAATAAAGAGTACAAAATAGAGCAGAAGGGAAATTTGAAAATCTGTTTTAATCAAAATGTTTTGATTAAAATAATTTTTTCATGCCATGTTCTAAGCTAACTACTAATAACCATGTAATTTACATAGATATGTATTCTTTTTTCTAACAATAACTTTGGTAACAGGGTTGAATGGTCAAGCTTTTTGAAGCCAAATCAATGTTTTTGTTTGTAATTTAGAAAACAGGATGAGAATACTGACCTCTCTGATGGTCATTCTGAAGAAAACAACAAGATGATGCAAATTCCTGTTTATAGCATAATAAACGGAATGTTCCTGTTTTTTTTACGAGGGTTAATAGATTTGGGTAACAGGGCTGTGGGACGCAGGTTAAAATGATTTTTGTTGTTAAATGAAATAAATTAATAGGTAAAAAAATATATTTTGATGTTAAATTGCTTGGAACTGAACCAAATAACATTGTAATTACAGTGTTACTGGAAGATTTTAATAAATATATTTCATATAAAAGTTCAGTGTCAGTGAGGTGGGACAGCCCAAAATCACCATATTAAAGGTAACCAATTTTTTGTAAACATTTAAATGCTAATTTTAATAATTTTATTTTGCAATAAAGTACAGATCCCTTCACTTTTTACAGAAATAAAACAACAACAGTCACTTTATTGCTGTAAAAAGATGATTGCGCATAAATTGAACTCTATTCATGGAAAGTGGGAGCTAACAGTTGTTTTTGCTCAGTTGTTTAGCTACACTCTTAAAAAAGATGGTTCTTCTAGGGTTCTTCAGTAAAGACAGTGGTTCTGTGTAGAACCATGAACACTCAAAGAACCATCTGCATGCTTAAATGGTTCTTTGCATGGTGAAAAGGCTCTTCAGATTGATGGAGAATGTGTTGTATATGGTTCTGTGCAGAACCTTCTTGGAAAGGGTACTCTATAGCACCAAAAAGGGTTCTTCAAGCTTGCAACAATTGCAAATCCCTTTTTGGTGCTATACAGAACCATACACAACACCTTCTCACCCTGCAAGGAAGAACCATTTCACCATGCAAGGAACGCTTTAAGCATGTAAATGGTTCTCTGAGTGTTATACATAGAACCATTTTCTTTACTAAAGAACCTTTGAAGAATCTTTTCTGAGAGGGTAGCCAACAGTTCCCAGTGAACACTTTTCATTCAGAATTCTTTGTGTTATTTTAAAATTTTCACATTCTGTATGTTTTACGTCTTATCATGCTAATTTAATGCATACATTTGCATAATGGGTGTGGCCATGCACACCCTCCATTCCCCAACAGACTCCGCCTATGAAAAAAAGGCTAAAGCGGTGCGCTTGTCTGGAAGATTCACATTGAAGTGCAAGAGCTTATCACTAGAAAAAATCATCAGAGTCGAAACGTACAGCCTTCTCGTAAAAGTGTAAAAACGTCTACCGAGCAAAAACGTCAAAGTCTCATGCGAAGATTTATTCTTTTTTATTGTTTTTCTTTTGTTTGCTTTTTTAGTTTCAAGCAGTGAAAAGAACTAAATGAGCCCATATCTACTGTATATGTACAACGGCTATGAGTGGTAAATGAGTTCGGCTGATGCGTTTAAAAGTTGATTTTGGTATTAAGCAGAGTGAGGGGGAACATGCAGCCCCTCATTATTTCCCTATCGACACATATGGTCTTGTGCAAAAGTTGGTGCACCCCCCAAATGACATGTTTTGTTGATATTTTTTATATTTACAACTTATGGTAACAAATAATCCTCTACAGGAGACACGAATAAATATGGCATCTTAAAGTCAACTTCTGTTCGTTTGCTGAATTTAACATATTGGGAAAAAAAATCAAACAAGTTTAATTAAATTTAGCAAATTAGCAATATGTGTGCATTGAAATGTGCCCAGTAGAGGAAGGTTTTAACATACTTACTAATAGAAAATCAACAAAACAAGTCATAAGTCCATATTTACTACTATCAGTTCTGCACTGTTCTACTCTATTAGTACAGTATAGTATTCATTACTATCTGATAGTATTATATAGCATTCTATACTATTAGTATGGTACAGTATAGTATTCTATACTGTCTTGTAATATAATATAGGACAGAACTAGAAATAAAATTTCATAATATTATATACCGTACTGTACTATTCTATACTTATAGTATACTGTACTATACTATACTGTACTGTAAGTATACAATTGTACAGTACAGTATTTAAAACATCCCTCAATATCATATACTGTACTATACTATTCTATACTTATAGTATACTGTACTATACTATAAATATAAAATTATATACTGTATTGTACTAGTCTATATGTATAATATAGTATACTATACTATACGTAGAGTAGAAAATAGTACAGTATATAACACTAATCTTGTAGTATTATATACCGTATTGTACTATTCTATACTTATACTGTACTATACTATAAGTTTAGAATTATAAACCATACTGTACTTTTCTATATTTATAGTATAGTACAGTATACTATACTTTAAGTATAGAATAGTATAGTATGGTATATAACCCTATTTATTAGTATTATATATCGTACTATACTATTCTATAGAATAGTATAGTACGGTATGTAATCCTATTTCTTATATACCGTACTGTTCTATTCTGTACTTAAGGTACAATATACTGTACTATACTACAGGTTTAGAGTTTATATTATACTGTACTAATATGCTATACCAAGCTATAAGCATAGAACAAAACAGTACAATAGTACAGTATGGTATTTAATACTATCTCTCAGTGTTATATACTGTGCTGTACTATTCTATACTTACAGTCTACTGTACTATACTAGAAATGTAATATTATATACCATATTGTACTATTCTCTACCTCTCTCTAGTACAGTACGGTATAGTGTAGTTTAGTATACTGAATACTGTCCTGTAGTATAGTGTAGCACAGAACTGATAGTTTTCCAATAGTCGTCTAAGGGTTTAAAAAACACAGCATGCATGTTTTAAGTGAGTTAGTACCTTTAGTTTAGGTCTGCGGTTATATTTGAGAAGTATTTAGAGGAAACGGTTGTGCGTCTAGCGTTATGTCGGACTTGAACACCACCATATGAAAAGTACAAACCCAGACACGGATATATAAAGACCATTTGATTGTCGCTCTGTTGGTTAGTGAGTAGTTTTGGAGGCCAGCTATAGCTTTACTCTGGTTTAGGTTTAGTAGAAGCAGTCTGAAGTCTTGAGCTTTATGGCAGTAGACCTTTACAAGCCAACAGAAATGCATAGAGTAAAATACGTAGATATATACGAAGTAAACATAGCAGTGCTTCTTTTTTAAGGGAAACTTCTAGTGCACATTTTGTCTTTTCAGGGCTCAAGTAAAAACTCTTCTTCTTCCAGGTAACATGGTGTAGCTCTTCAGACTCTTCAGGAATAAATGCTAGAGAAAAAAAGAGAGAGAAGGAGAGAGAGAGGGAAGGAGAGAGAGAGGGAAGGAGAGAGATGTTCCACACCGCACTACCAGCGTGAGAAAATGATCTGAAATTATCTCGGAGCAGAAGATAGACTGGTGTAATGATGTAATGGTCCTCGGCAGATTTCAGAGACATTTTTCGAAAAAAGAAGAAAAGGAGGAGAGGGAGAGGGAGAGGGAGAGGGAGAGAGAGAGACAGAGAGAGAGAGAGAGAGAGGGAGAGAGAGAGAGAGAGAAAAAGAGAGAGAGAGAGAGAGAGAGAAGGAAAAGGAGGAAAAAAAACCCATAAAAGTAAAAATGAGTATCTTCAGGTCTTCCTGCAGAACGTTGACAGGAAGAGCGCCGTGCAGGCCGGGCTGCGGACTGGAACAAGCCAGATCAAACTGGATCGGGACTGGCAGGGGTGGGCGTGGCCACTCTGGGTGTGGAAGGCGGGGCTTGGTGTCAGTTGTGGAACAGGATTGGCTTAGCCAGGCCAGCGAGGATCTTTGGTACTTGGACTGAAATGATCTCGGCGATCATCTCGGGGAAGCTGACCTTAGTGGGCAGAGACTGAGCCTGGACGAAGAGGTCGAAGGTGAACTGGTGCAGCTTCCGCACGATCTGCAGGAGAAGAAAGACAGGAGGAGAGATGAAAAGAGGAGAGGGCAGAAAGAGGAGAGAAAGGAAGAGAGGAGGGAAGAGGAAAGGTGAGGGGAGAAGTGAGGAAAGAAAGAGGCAGAAAGAGGAGAGGAGAGATAAAGAGGGAAAGGAAAAGAGGAGAAGTTAAAGATGGAAAAATAGAGGAGAGGAAAAGGGAAAAAAGAAGAGGGAGGGAGAAAAGAGGAAATGAGAAATGAAGAGAGGAGGAGAACCAAGAGGGCAAAGGAAGAGAGAAAAGAGGAGTAGGAAGAAGAGAAAGGAGGAGAGACGCCGTAAAGACAATGTGGATCATAGGAAGAGATAAGAGGAGAGGAAAATGGAAGGAGAAAAGAAGAGGAGAAGAAAGAGAGGAAAGAGGAGAGAAGTAAGAATGAGAGGGAAAGAGGAGAAAAGATGAGAGGAGAAGAGAACAAAGGGAGAGATAAAGGGGAAAATGGAGGAAAAGGAGGAAGGAAGAACAGAAGACAGAGAGAAAAGAGAGCAAAAGATAAAAGAAGAGGAAGAGATGGGAAAACAAATGAGAAGAGAAGAAAAGAAAGAAGGAAAGGAGAAGAAAGAAGGAAAGGAAAAGAGACAAGAGAAAGAAGGAAGAATGATGATAGAAGAAAAAAGACAAAGGAGGAGGAGAGAGGAGATATTAGAGGAGAGCAAAAAGAGTGAAGGAGAAAGGAGATGTGAATCAAAGAGCAGAGGGAAGAAGAACGAAGGCGTGGAAAAAAGGGAGAAGCAAAAAAGTAGAGATGTGAACAGAAGAGAGGAAAGCAGAATGAAAGAGTAAAAAAGGAGAAAGAAGGAAAGAGACGACGTGGAAAGAAGAAAGGAAGAGTGAAAAAGGAGAAAGAAGAAAGGAAGAGTGGAAAAGAGGAAAGGAGAAAAGAGATGATGTGGACAAAAGAGAGGAAAGAAGAAAGAAAGATTGGAAAAGGAGAAAGAAGAAAGGAAGAGTGGAAAGAGGACAGGAGAAGAGAAATGTGAATAAAAGAAAGATGGAAGGAAAAAGAGAAGAGATGTGAACAGAAGAGGGGAAAGAAGAAAAGATGAGAGAATAAAGCACAAAGAAAAAGAAAAGAAAGAGTGGAAGAGATATGAACAGAAGAGAGGAAAGAAGAAAGGAAGAGAGGAAAAAAGGAAAGGGGAAAGAGACGATGTGGACAGAAGAGAGGAAAGAGGAAAGAAAGAGTGGAAAAGAGAAGAATTGTGAACAGAAGAGAGGAAAGAATGAAGAAAGGGCAGAAAAGAGAGGAGGAGAGAATAAAGGACAAAGGAAAAGAGAAAAGAAAGAGTGGAAAAGAGGAAAGGAGAAGAGAGATGTGAATAAAAGAAAGAAAGCGAGGAAAGGAAAAAAGAAGAGATGTGAACAGAAGAGGGAAAAGAAGAAAGGAAGAGAGGAAAAAGGAAAGGGGAAAAGAGACGATGTGAACAGAAGAGAGGAAAGAATGAAGAAGGAGCAGAAAAGAGAGGAGGAGAGAATAAAGGACAAAGAAATAATTAGTTACATTCACAAACCGAACTGTTTTCTGGTTGAACTCGTTCTGTGTTAAACGTGAATAAACACACTGGTGTGTCCAGTTCGAGACAGACGGTGTTGTTTTCAGCACATCTGATTGAGAATGTAGAGAAGCTGGAAGCTGATAAAGTGACAGTGATGAACTCACTGTGAAAAACATTTTTCAGTTAAGAGTTTTAGAGTTAAAATCACCGTAGAAGAGCTTATTAAAGCAATAAGCCAGTTACTGTGATTTTACCACGGGGAAGGGTGTTGTTAGGCAGGTTCTGTCGTATAACAATGAACATATGACAACACAGCACTGTTTTTTTTTATTTATTTATTTATTTATTTTAATTTTTACCCGATTTTTCTTCCCAATTTAGTCGTCTCCAATTCCACCCGCTAGTTAAGACTCCCCCAGTCACACGATGCTATCAACGCTAGGAGGGTGAAGGCTAACACAGGCTTCCTCCGAGACCTGTGAAGCCAACCACCGCATCTTTTCGAGCTGGACAGCCGAACGCGCTCGGAGGAAAGCGCCAACCGCCAGATCTGTTACGTCAGCTAACAGACGCCTGTGCTGACTAGCATCGCGCTGAGTGAGTGATGGGGGGAGAAGGAGGGGCCATCCTACCCACCCAGAGAGAGCGAGGCCAATTGTGCTCTCTCGGACTCCCGGCTACAGACGGCTGTAGCATCACCAGGGATCGAACTCGCAATCTCCTGATGATCGGGCCAACGCTTAGACGGTTACACCACTTGGGAGCCCACACAGCACTGTTTAATGCAGAAACTTTCGCTGACTTTATAAGTACTTTTTGGTCACCAAATCACCACCGTGAGTCTTATTTAGCACCAGTCCAGCGGCGCCCTCTTCTCACACTGGGGCTGAATCTCAAACAGCTCCCTGCTCCCTACATAGTGCACTAAGTAGAGGTTTAAATACTGGATCCTGCAGCCCAACAGAGCAAAATACAGCTAAGAAACAGTCATTTGGGACTCAGACACATCCACACTCGATACATGATGCACTGTTTGGCTGTAGAGGCTAGAATTTCTACACTTTCATATCTAGAACACTATTTAGGGAGTACGGAGCCGTTTGGGATTCAGCCTGGGTTTGACGCAACTTCTGACTGAAACCCGGATATGTGAAGTGTGTAAAACATTCACGTGACATTTTTAGACTTTTATACTGCAGTTTTACAGTAAATCATACTGTAAGTTGTTGTTTTTCTGATGGCTGTTCTGGCATCATTTTTCAGGAGATACACTATATAGACAAAAGTATTGGGACACCTACACATTACATTCTTTTAAGAATCCATAGGCATTAATATGGAGTTGGTCCCCCTTTGCAGCTCTAACAGCTTCCACTCTTCTGGGAAGCTTCTACAGATGTTGGAGAGAGTCTGTGGGAATTTCTGCCCATTCATCCAGAAGAGCACTTGTGAGGTCAGACACTGATGCTGGACGAGAGGGTCTGGCTCACAATCTCCGTTCTAGTTCATCCCAACGGTGTTGATGGGGTTGAGGTCAGGACTCTGTGAGGGCCAGTCAAGTTCTTCCACACCAAACTCACCCAGTCAGGCCTTTATGGAGCTGCTTTGTGCACTGGGGCTCAGTCATGCTGGAACAGGAAAGGTTCTTCCCCAAACTGTTCCACAAAGTTGGAAGTGTACAACTGTCTAAAATGTCTTGGTGCTGAAGCATTAAGGTTTCCCTTCACTGGAACTAAGGGTTCTAGATCAACCCCTGAAAAACAGCCCCATATCATCATCCCTCCTCCACCAAACTTTACAGCTGGCACAGTGCAGTCAGGCGGGTAACGTTCTCCTGGCATTCGCCAAACCCAGACTCGTCCATCAGACTGACAGATCACTCCACAGACTACGTTTCCACTGCTCCAGAGTCCAGTGGCGGCGCTTTACTCAACTCCATTTGTCATTCCACCCTTCGTTTCATCAATTTCCAGTCAAAAACAGCCATAAAACACAAGTTCAAACTTCATTTTTCAGGGGACATTTGTTAGGAGATCAGATATATATATATATATATATATATATATATATATATATATATATGTATATATACACACATCATCTACTTGTATGAAAAAGGAAAACGTCAAAGGAACATAAGGGGAACATAAGGGGGGTCTCTGAGTTTTGCACAGTGCTGTGTGTGTAATGATCCTCACCGGCTGCAGTGAATCCATGAGTCGTGTCAGCTGGTAGAAACGCTGCGCACAGTTACTCTTCCTCCCGTAATTAATCAGACGGTCCAGCTCGTTAATGTACGTCAGACGCAGATCATCAAAATACTTCTGACTCTTCAGGCCTTCTACAGGAACTAGAGAGAGAGAGAGAGAGAGAGAGAGGGGGAGAGAGAGAGAGAGAGAGAGGAGAAAGAGAGGAGGAGAGTGAGGAGAGAAGGAAGTTATATACACTTATATTTTGAAATGGGCAAATATACAGTTTGTCCTTGTTGGTTATTTTGTGCCTGCCGCATTTATTAGCTACTCATTAAACAAAACAAGTTCCGATTCGGTTAAGAAGTGGATAAATTGTGTGGAAAGTGCAGGTTCTAAACTTTAAATCCATATTTCGTTTGTATTTGTGAATAGGAGATATTTTATTATGATTTGAATTTGCACGTCATCCTGTAATTATGTAAGTAAAGAGGAATTCAAAATGTCAGTATAGTTCAGTTCAGTTCATTCAGATGTAAACAGAGGTGTTCAGAGTGGTTTGGTATAAAATGCTCTGGTTGAGGTTCAGATGGATGTCACAGCTTTATCAAATGATGACAAGCTGTCCTGGTCCAATAGCAGCATACAGCCCCAAACCGTGATACTGCCACCATCATGTTTCACTGCTAGAACGAGTTTCTGTTGCTGGAATGCAGCGTTTTGTTTTGCCAAACATAACATTTCTCATTTGAGCCATAAAGATCCCTGGCAGAAAGATATTATATGAAATGGTTATGAATACGCTGCCTGATGGCCGAGACATTGTTTTATGATAAAGCTTCTTCTGCTTTAACCATTTATTGTAGAGTAAAGTTTTAGGGTTGTTGTCTTTCAGCAGGACACACCTTCTTTTAAAGTTCAGTCCATAGATGGATGTCATAGCTCCATCAAATGATGACAAGCTGTCCTGGTCCAAGTATAGCATATAGCCTCAGTTTTATCATTATTTTAGCATTATTTGAATTACATATTGACGCTGTCCAAGGGAAAAAAACCTTTACAGGGGAAGGCAAGAATATTCCCAGCTTTTAATGCAAGTTAATGCAAAAAGGTTTTATTCCAAGTCATTTTGGAGCATTCCTATTGGTCCGTTCATTCTAATGTTTTCAGACAATGTAAACAACAGCTGCCGTGTTCACATGATGAAAAAAAAAAATTGACAAAAATGGAGATTTTTTTTTTCAGACAGTGATGATATAGACTTGCTGTTGTTGATGAGACAAAGGAGAATTCCTTTGATTTTCTCTATACTTTCTCCATAATGAAGTCTATGATGTGATCAAAGTCATCCAACAAAGTCAGTTGGTCTAAAATATATTTTAATCAATTTATTTTAATGTATTAATGATGGAGGGATACATGAAGAGTGTTCCAAGGCAAAATAGTCCCAAAAGAAAACTTGTTTCATCAGATTTTCCACTATTTTCCCATCATCAACATTCCATATAAACACTCAGAAGACTTGTGTAGGTTCACTGGTGGTTCTGGATAGTAAATAAAATGCCTATATCTGTGTTGTAGTCATGGCGACCCCTGGTTCCTATCACCACCACTGTAAAGACATCTGAACCACTTCACACCAAACCACTCTGAATCACTCTGATTACATCTCACACACTAAATTATGGAGAAACTTTGAAATGTAGGTGTACTTTCCCTCTGAATAGTGCAGGACAATAACAGTGCTGAGTGACAGCTGGTAATGGTGAGTGGAGACTCACTGATGCTGAAGAGCAGGAGGGCCTTCATGCAGAGGAACTCCTCCTGAGTGATCTGCAGCAGCACGAACTCCTGAGACAGGTGCTTCATCTGCATACAGTGCTCGTACATGCTGGAGATGTGCATCCTCCGACTGAGAGACACAGAGAACGTCGAAAATATTAATAATAATAGTAATAATAATGTGCTTTGAAGACAGCTAGTAAAGCCTAACAGTAATAGAAGAAATTATGAGTAATAAAATCACATAAAACAATGACGGTTCAAAAGATAAACACAGAACAGATGCTTAATTAAACAACTACGTTTTCAGATGTTTATGAAAAGTGAGCTCTGAGCTTGACTGTCTAATAAAAGCTGGACTGAGCTCCACAGTTTAGAAGCAGAATAACAGAAAGAGTCTCTTTATGTTTTCTGTATTTTACGGTAGATGTTCTGTATTTTTACAGAAGGTCAGTTCTGCAGCTGTAATATCATAAACAGACGGACATCCAGGAGCATTTTAGGTCATTTAGAGCTTTAAAAACCAGCAGCAGAGCTTTAAAATCTCTCCTAAAAGATCCAGGCGGCTTCTAAACATGAGTAATATGAGCTCTCAGTGGCAATAATTAATGCCAGGTTATATTAACCCTGTGCTATAAAACAAACTGTAGAAATAATCCTAGATTATATTAATTATAATCCTTAGAAATAACACCAGATTATATTAATCTTGTGCTATCAAATGAACTGTACAAGTAACACCGAGATACATTATACCATTTATACCATACTATAAAAAAAACATAGACATCACCCCAGGTTATATTAATCCCATGCTATAAAATGAACCATACACATTTGTTCCATGTTATTAAACAAACTGTAGAAATAATCCCAGTTTATATTAATCTAAGATACAAAACAAGCCATAGAAATAATCCCAGGTTATTTTAATCCTGTAGTATAAAACAAGCCATAGCAATAATCCCAAATTATATTAATACCGTGCTATAAAACAAACCATAGAAATAATCCCAGATTATATCAATTCCAATCCTTAAAAAGAACACCAGATTATGTTAATCCAATGCTAAGAAAGAAACCATAGAAATAACCCCAGATTGTATTAATATCATGCTATAAAATGAACCATATACATTTGTCCCATGCTATTAATCTTGTGCTATAAAACAAACTGTAGATATAATCCCAGGTTATACTAATCTTGTGCTATAAAACAAACTGTAGATATAATCCCAGGTTATATTAATCTTGTACTATAAAACAAACTCTAGAAATAATCCTAGGTTATTTTAACCCTGTGCTATAAAATATACCATAGAAATAATCAGAAATTATATTAATCCCGTGCTATAAAACAAACTGTAGAAATAATCCCAGGTTATTTTAATCTTGTGCTATAAAACAAACAATGGAAATAACCCCAAATTATATTAATGCTGTGCTATAAAGAAAACCATAGAAATAATCCCTGTATAGTGCTTTAGGTGCGACCTTCCGTGTTCACAGGTCAGTATCTGCAGATCTAAGATCATAAACAGAGGTGGCTTCTAAACGTGAGTAATACGAGCTCTCAGTGGCAAATTGGATTTTTTTTGCCAAACTAGCCACAAAATGAAGCACTACCGGGTGAGACAGACACGCTAGCGAGGCCCAAATGAGTCCGGCTCCTGAAATAGTGTTTTTTTTAAATCCCGCCTGCTAAACTCGACATTTTCCAAGTCCTTGTATCGGAGCACAATAGCGGAGCTTGAAGAGAGGAGCAGATGCATTTCTCCAAAAGACATCATCTCTCTCCCCGGCAGCGGCGGAAGGAGGAGGCCATTGAGAGCATGTGGGAGTGAAAAAAATCCAATCTTCTCCGGGGAATTATGTGTGTGAGAAAAAGTCCTGCACATCTCAATAAGACAACAGTAATGAAGAAATGAACCTGGACAGGACCGCGCTGGACTATTGTGCTCGGAGATAACAAGAGATGCGAGAGAGAGACAATTAGGCAGGCAGGAGAAAGAGAGGAAGTTCTAAAGATGTGGGAAAGTGTGTGTGAAAGGGAGGATGATGACTTTATAGACTGCTGAGAAGACGGAGAAGAGTAAAAAGAGCAGAACTCCCGATGGGCCGACTCGACAGAGTAACAAGATGGACGAGGAGATGGGGGGCGGGGGGAGGAAATAAACGGATGGAGAGACAGAGGTAGGAGAGGCAGGAAGGGAGATGAGCGGATGGAGAGAGATGAAAAGCGAGAGGAAAGAAAGGTTATGCGGTCATCGGGGCTAAAACAGACTTGTTTTGTCTTTTATCGTCATGGATACGAAAATATCTGCGGTAAATCCTTCATTGAAGCGATAGTTCAGCCAAAAACCCCGCAGTCCAGCCGAGATATGGAGCTCCGAGGCTAATGCAGCTAACGTGTGATTGAATTAGCCAATTAGCACCATGCTAACTGCATCACAAACCGTGTCGAGTTCTTATACAATCTCAAATAGACCCGCTTTTATGCTTTCTGACTCGGATTCTATGAAAAACGGACAAAAGTACACTGTATATTTGATTTTTTGACCTTAACGCTGCTTTAGCTGGCTGATATATACAAAAGCACCACAGCTAGAGGGCACAAGGCTAAGCGCGTTGATAATACAGTGCCAGAACTAGATCTAGCATCATTTTGCAGTCTGCAACCCGCCTAAATAAGGACTTCAGGTCTACGTCGTTGTTCTCTATGGGAAAAATGAATGGAATTTTGTTAAAAAATGCTCCTATTGCACCCCAAGGCAAACAGAAACGTCCCAAAGCTGAAAGGTTTTGTTTTATGTACATTTTCCACCCAAATGTCACTGAGTCCTGTGAATTATGAGGTCAGTAAGCGGTCAAAAACAAATATTTTTCCATGCTACAAGAAAGCTAACACTGAAATGACATCTACTGTTAAAGATTAACACGTTATACAGCAGCAGCTGCTCAGACTGTAGACTAAACCTGCCAAACGCCTCTAAACTACCACACTGGAGCAGCAGTACTAGGTTGCATTTAGCATCTATGTACAAATATTCAACTAGTCAACAAGTGTAACTGTAGTTATTAACAATGTTTGTCATTTTAGTGCCATCCAAATTCACAAAGTCAGGAATATTAATGCCAGGTTATATTAACCCTTTGCTTTAAAACAAACTGTAGACATAATCCCAGATTATATTCATTCCAATCCTTTTATTAAGCTTGTGCTATTAAATGAACTCCACAGGTAACCCCAAATTACATTAATCTCAAACTATAAAACAAACCATAGAAGTCGCCCCAGGTTATATTAATCCCAGGCTATAAAATGAACACATTTGTTCCATGATATTAAACAAACTGTAGAAATAATCCCAGGCTATATTAATCTGTGCTATAATACAAGCCATAGAAATAATCCCAAATTATATTAATCCTGTGCTATAAAACAAACCATGGAAATAATCCCAGGTTATATTAATTCCAATCCTTAGAAATAACACCCTGATTATATCTTGTGCTATACAATGAACTGTAAAGGTAACCCCAATTTACATTAATCCCATACTATAAAACAAACCATAGAAATCACCCCAGGTGATATTAATTTCATGCTATAAAACAGAAATGACCCCAGATTATATTAATCCTGTGCTAAGAATCAAACCATAGGAATAACCCAAGGTTATATTAATCCCATAGTATAAAATGAACCATACACATTTGTCCCATGCTATTAAACAAACTGTAGAAATAATCTGAAATAACTGCAGATAACATTTATCCTGTGCTATTAAACAAACTGTAGAAATAATCCCAGATTACATTAATACATTAATGTAATCTCATATTACATCAAGACATTAATGTAATCCCAGATTACATTAATACTGTGCTACATAACTGATTATATTAAAAATGTGCTATAAAACAAGCTGTTGAAATAATCCCAGATTATATTAATTCCAAATCTTAGATATAACACTAGATTATATTAATCTTGTGCTATAAAATGAACTGTACAAGTAACCCCAGGCTACATTAATTCAATATTACAAAACAAACTGTAGAAAAGACCCCAGGTTATATTAATCCCATGATCTAAAAACTAAAATAATCCCAGATTACATTGATCCTGTGCTATAAAACAAGGTATAAAAATAATCCCAGGTTAAATGAATCCTGTGCTATAAGGATTATATGTGCGAGTGGATCAGACACAGCTGTGCTGCTGGAGTTTTTAAACACTGCGTCCACTCACTGTCCACTCTATTAGACACTCCTACCTTGTCAGTCCACCTTGTAGATGTAAAGTCAGAGACGATAGCTCATCTGCTGCTGCACAGTTTGTGTCGGTCATCCTCTAGTCCTTCATCAGTGGTCACAGGACGCTGCCCACAGGACGCTGTTGGCTGGACACTAAAACACCACCACCACGTCAGTGTTACTGCAGTGCTGAGTATGACCTACCACCCAAATAATACCTGCTCTGTGGGGGTCCTGTGGGGTCCTGACCACTGAAGAACACGGTAACAAAGTATGCAGAGAAACAGATGGACTACAGTCTGTAACCGCAGAACTACAAAGTGGACCTATATAGTCAGTGGAGCTGATAAAGTGGACAGTGAGTGTAGAAACAAGGAGGTGGTTTTAATGAAGTGGTGTTGCCATATGGCAACAATGACTTTTATTTTAGTTTTTTGTGTGTAAAATTTTTTAAAATAAATTTTATTTTTTTACCTACAATAAAAGCACAAACACAGTCTGTAGGAGGTCATTATTTCTTTGTTTTTATGAACACGTTTAGATTCTACAGCTATAGTTATGAAAATAAAGTATAACATGCGTCAGTCTGTAATGCACACAGTGGGGCTTTCAAAACTCTTTTTAGTTCCAGTGAAATGTTTTAATGACTCATTATTTTCACCCCTTTCTGAATCATAAACGACAGTTATGCAAATCTTTCATTGCCAGATTAATAATTAGATCTATGTCCAATAGCAGCTACCCCCACTGTACGCACTGCACCCTGCGGGTCTGTTGCTGCAGGGTGTTCTCCTGCCTGTCTGAGTTGAGAGAGACACACAGACAGAGAGAGAGAGAGAGAGAGAGAGAGAGAGAGAGAGAGAGAGAGAGAGAGAGAGACAGAGACAGAGAGAGAGAGACAGAGAGACAGAGACACACAGAGAGAGAGACAGAGAGAGAGAGAGAGAGAGAGAGAGAGAGAGAGAGAGAGACAGACAGAGAGACAGAGACACAGAGATACAGAGAGAGAGAGGGTGGTGGGGGGGGTGTAGGGATGAAAATAGAAAGAGAACTGACTCGTTGAAGACGAGGTCCGGAGCGAAGTACAGCATCCGAGCGTTTACGTTCTTATATGACCTCCAGCCGAGAGCAAAGACCATCACACCCATCCACGCATGCTGAATCATCGTCATCTGATCGTCCACATGGAGATTACGGAAACCTGAGAGAGAGAGAGAGAGACAGAAAGAGAGAGGGGGAGAGGGAGAGAGAGAAAGAGAGGGGAGAGGGAGAGAGAGAGAGGGGAGAGACAGTAGAAAGAGAAAGACAGAAAAAGAGAAAGGAAGGAGAGAGAGAGAAGAAAAAAGAGTGGGGAGAGAGAGAGAGGAGATGGAGAGAGAAAAAGGAGAAAGACAGAGAGGAAAGAGGGAGAGAGAAGAGGCAGAGAATGAGAGGAAGAGAAAGAGAGAGGAAAGAAAGTGAGAGTGGAAAGAAAGACAGGGAAGAGACAGTAAGAGAAGGAGAGGCAGAGACGGTGACAGAGAGAGGTAAAATGAGAGGAAGGAAGGCAGTAAAAGAAAGAAAGAAAGGAAGAAAGAAACGAAGTGAACGAGAGAGGAAAGAGAGTGACAGAGTGATAGGAAACAAACAGAGAGAGAGAAAAAAGGAGAAAGATAAAGAGGAAAGAGAGAGAGAGAAAAGAGAGCGAGGAAAGAAAGTAGGGGAGACAGAGAGTCAGAGAAGGAAGAGTGTGGAAGGAAGGCAGTAAAAGAAAGAAAGAAAGAAAGAAAAGAAAGAACGAGAGAGGAAAGAGTGACAGAGTGATAGGAAACAGAAAAAGAAATCAGCAAGAGAGGAGAGAAAATGAAAGTAGAGAAAAAGAAAGGAGAAAGACAGGAGCAAGAAAGAAAGAGAGTAAGAGAAGATGCAGAGGGGCAAAGAGAGAAAAAGAAAGTGAGGAAAGACAGAGAAAAAGAATGAAAAAGAAAGGAGAGAGAAGACAGAGCGAGAGAAAAGAGGAAGAAAGACAGAAAAGATCTCATTAATACTGTGTAAACAGCCTCATTACAGCCAGATAAACATCTCCTTACACAACATCCGTCACTCTAACGTGAAGCGACTGAGTGATAAAATAAAGGAGTGAAGAGCTTCTTCTTCTTCTTCTCTGCTGCTGTTTCTCTATTAGAGTGTCCAGTGATGATCTGAAGGCATGAAGCCGATGCTGAGCTGCCAGAACGACATGAAGAACTTAGAAAAAACAAGTAACCGAATTTAAACTTCAATCAAAACCGACGCTGTCAAAGTACCGACGCCAGAACAAGCACAGTAAATCCAGCCTGTTCTGGTTCCCTGTGAAGGTCAAGCGTCTGAACAGGCTGTAGATGGTGGGGAACCCTTTCAAGGGAAAGTCTGGTGAGAAATCAAATGTCCTTACACTTACAAAAAGATGGCTCTTCAAGGGTTCTTTAGTAAAGAGAATGGTTCTATTTAGAACCACGAGTTCTATACTGAACCTTTTTCATATTTAAATGATTCTTTGCATAGTGAAAGCGTTCTTCAGCTTGATGGAGAATGTGTTGTATATGGTTCTATGTGTCGTACATGGTTCTATGTATGTACCAAAAAGCTTGACATTGTAACAATAGCAGAACCATTTTTGGTGCCATACAGAACCATTTACAACACATTCTCCGTCACTCTGAAGAACGATTTCACCATGGAAAGAATCATTTAAGTATGAAAATGGTTCTATACGGAACTTAAGGTTCTAAATGGAATGGTTCCTTTTACTAAAGAACCCTCGAAGAACCACCCCACCCAAAACCATCAAATAAATATATATTCAAATACAGTCAATCAGTTTTGCTTTAAATTTAGCAGTGGAGTTATGATGCTAATGTTGCTAACAAGTAATGGAAGCCTATGGCCACCAATTAGCATGGCGCTGACGACATATTCATATTAAGATATGCTTGCCTTGAACTGTATGGAGTTGTTGAAGGGCCAAATTCATTGAAAACAAATTTTGACTTTTTCAAAACAAATAAAAGCCCATTTTGCATATGCATACTTTTTTGCGATGTCACAAAAGCTCATTTACATATGTTACATCTATTCAGCCCTACAGCAGTTTAGCCCCGCCCATTTATGCTTGAGCTGTTTCACCCTGGACTGCATTATGAATGAAGCACAAAGCAGGGCGGCCAATCAGAATAGATGTCATTTACATGCAGTCATATGCAAAAGTTTTGGCACCTCTAATACATTTTTTTGCGGGTTCTAATTGCAAATAAGTTGCATATATTTTTCTTTTAGTGCATGGATTCCATTTATTTGGTGAATTTAATGTGACGGACAAAATAATATAAAAAAAAATAAATCATGTTTTATAATTATTGTTTTCATGCAATCTTCCTCTGATTATCATCCATCATGCTGCCTCCATGGCAACATATGCAGTGGTCGCGTACCGATATGAGGCGCGGAACCTTTTTTTTAACCCCAACTTGTATATGCAGCACTCTTAAAAATGGTTCTTCAAGGGTTCTTTAGTAAAGACAATGGTTCGTTATAGAACCATGAACACTCAAACACTAAAAGGGTTCTTTGTATTGTGAAATGGTTCTGCAGATTCTATAACAAATGTGTTATATATGGTTCTATATATGGTGCACTGTGAAAGGGTTGGAGAATTGATAGAGTGTGTGTTATGTATGGTTCTATATTGAACCTCTTTGAAAAGGGTTCTTTATAGCACCAAAAAGGGTTCTGCTATTGTTACAACGTCAAGCTTGTAACAGGTGAAGAACCCTTTTTGGTGCTATCTACAACACATTCTCCATCAATCTGAAGAATATTTTCACCATGCAAATATAAATATATATATATTTGCCCTGCCCTGCCTCAACATCAATGACTCTGTGGTTTCCACTGTGGAGTTTCACCACCGTATCCAGGGACCTGAAGTAGAAGAAGAACACAGTCTCCATCACCAAGAAAGCACGGCGAAGAACGTTCTTCCTCAGACAGCTGAAGAAACTCGACCTGCCTCAGAGTCTGATGATCCACTTGTGCGCAGCGATCATCGAGTCCATCCTCACATCATCAATAACCATCTGGTTTGGCTCCTCCAGCTCACAGGAACGAGCCAAACCCCAGTACATAATCAGGGCAGCGGAGAGGATCATCAGATGTGGCCTGCCAACACTTCAGATCATCTACAACAGCAGAGTGATTGACCACGCCGGCTCACTAACAGCTGACCCCTCTAATCCTGGACATCACCTCTTCCAGGCACGCCCTTCTGGTAGGAGATTCAGGACCATCAAAACCAGCACAGCTAGATATGACAACAGCTTTTTCCCCAGAGCTGTAGCTCATTAACCACAGTGGACGCCTCACACTTTACACTCAGACTGACCATTAAACCTCCTCACTGTATTACTGTAACTCCTCTGGAACGTCAGGCTGTTCTGGATCAATGACAAGGTTTTCAAAATGACAATTTTTAAAAATTGAATGAAAAAGGACAACATGCATTTTTATTTTAGCGTACATATTTGCGTTCATATCCATGCACATTTTATATCTTAAGTACAGTGAGAGTTATCAAAGCTTTTAATTGCCGATTTCAGCTATTAAACTGTGCTGGTCTGGTTGCGCCACCTGACTTTTCAGACTAATTTCAAGTTAAACAGGCATCGACCAGGAAACCTTGTAAAAAGCACCTTTAGAAACCTTTTCCTTGAGCTTCAGTTTATACTTATATTTTATCAAATAAACAAACATCATTATAATAATTTCACATTTTCATAGTTCTCCTGAGGTCAGAACACCTGACAGGGTAAACGGAACCGTTCTAACCATGACTCAAAAATCACATGTTTACTAACTTGTGAACGGGTCACTGACCTTGGCATTGCACCATGGTCTTCTTTATGATGCAATACCCCGGCCACTCTTTCATAAAAGCATGTCAAAATAAAAGTCCTTTGTTTTTGGTTGTGCCGCCTGACATTTGAGGAAGTAAGAACTTGCAGACAAAAATGTTTTCAGTTAGTTAAGCACGTCTAAAGTTGCCGTATTTGGTAATGTGGTTTTTATTTTAAAGTTTGCAAATGTAAAATTATGCCAAACTATTTTATTCCAAATTTTATATAACTTAATAAGCTTTTTTGATAGTTTACCTAATCAACATACTGGACTTTTGGAGGCAAAATGAAGCTAAAATGAACTTGATATAGATGCACTAAAATTGTTTCACATAAACAAGGTATTGTTGAATAAATTGATGTATGTCATGTATCTATTTAATTATTTTTGGGGGAAAATAATGGACACAAAAAACGTATGTCATGTCAATGACCCAAATAACAGATAACAGTTAATGTATGTGTACATAGACCTGCATACATACACATATATATATATATATATATATATATATATATATATATATATATATATATATATATATGCACACACACATGCCTGATTATTTGTGAGGGCTGAGCTGTGAGTTGTGAGGTTTTTCTTTTCTCAGAAAGATGTCACTGATGCGTGATTCAAACATTAGCTGCAGATTCGGGGCTTGTTGACCCGGTAGCCTCTCTTTTTCTACCCAGAATCCTTTGCCCTCTGCACTTAAGCAAATAAGCTCTTTTGAAGTAGACTGCTTTGTAATTTACCAAAAATGACCAAATCAGTTAAGAGAAATATTCCATTTCTAACTGAATTGCTGGTTTGGGGCCGGCGCTGTCAGACTGACCCCGACGCTCTTCTGTCTCCAAAACACACTTAATTTCTCTTTCATTACAAACGCAGCTCAGTAATAAATGCCAGTTCTGTGGTTAATGTTCTCCTCCTAACTGGCCATTTAACAACAAAGGGTTCTCAGATCAGAACATGTTCTGAATTCTGAATATCTGTTCATGATAAACTGTGGGCACCAAATGGTTCCATGCAGTTGAATTAACCCTGATCTGAAGATGTTTATTAATCAGAACTTGAGTTATAACTGAGTGAAACTAAATTGAAACCAAAGTGATGTTAGTATTAAAATAAAAATATATAGACAATAGTTTATTCATTAATTTGTGAATACATAAAAACATAATTTAATAGATTATTTATTAATTACTAAGATATTATGTATCTGTTTATACCAGATATACCAGGAAAAATAAATAAATCTAATAAAAAATAAATAATGTAAAATGTGAA